GCCACTAGAGTCTCATTACCTTTCTTTCAGTTCCTAGATGATGTCAAATGCTTTCTGCCTGGAAAGTTCTCTCCCTAACTTGTTGACTAACTTCTACCCATCCTTTTATTTTGGCAGAAGTACACTTTTTTCAGGACGATTCTCCTTGATCACCCAAAGTAAAATAACTTTCTCTGTTATGCCCTCTCATAGCACCTGGTATCAATATTTTCCTTTATTGTGCTTGTCAGGCTTTGGTTCCTGTGGTTAACTGTTAAATCTGGACACTTCAGAGGACTGGAAACTCCATGAGGGGCAGAAACCCTTTTTGTCTGTTTACTTTTGTAGCCCCAGCACAGTGCCTGAACACATAAATATTTGTGAATGACTGAGTGAAAGGAATAGGCTAGCAACAGGGTGCTGGTAGGGAAAGCTTTTATCCTACAGCCTCCTTCAGCCTGATGTCCTTTCCTTCAGCTCCTAGATTCATCAGGTTTACAGAAAGAATCTGCATTATTATCTTTGTTCCCCTGCTAGGATGGAATTTGGATTCAGATGCTAAGATATAAAAGGAAGGAACAAAATCCAACATGGAAAGAAATATCGAATAGAGAATACTCCCCCGAGTGGCTACACATCTTCACTGTAAGCAGTAATCTCAGTGTGCAGCTATGGAGGCTTGAGTTATTTACATATCTCTAATCCTCTTACCTTCTAACTGAGATCATTCCAATAGCTTTGCCTTTAGACTTCCAATTGCCTTATGCATTCACAAGTCATTTCTTTGTCAAATGCCGTATTGTAATCTCCTAGGGAGATTATAAAAAAAGTATTCATTCTTCTTTATCCTAATATAGTTTATCTGTCTCCATCGAAGTTGTGTTTTAAATTTTTCTGTGCTAATGCCTTCATGAAATTAATAGTAAATTTAAAATGAAATAGAAATTAAAATAATTAAAATTAAAACATCATCTATAGGTCTGTATGTTGTCTACCACAGCTTGTCTGATTCAATGAGTTCAGACTTGACCACTTAGAGGAAGCATGTACGGTCTGTGGATTTTTTCATATAATTTCTCATCTCTTCTTTCCTTTTCCTCATGTCTGAGCAATTTCATTTCTTTCTAACAATGCAAGAATTAGGATGAAAAGATGTAAAAATGGCAATAATAAGTTTGCTTTCTCTTAGGAAAAATGTATCTCTCATCATACAGATGATGTTTTAAGAGTTGACTAAAGAAAAAAGGACTATTGATATAAAATAAGATTTCAAGTAGATTTAAGGTAGTCATGCATTTATTCATTCAAAAATGTTGAACAACTCTAATGAAATATTCTGTGGGAAAGGTGACATAAAGGTATTTAAAGCCATAATAAACAAAGACTAATTCTTAATGACAAAATCTCTGTGCCATGACCTCCACCCCATTTTAACTATTTTAGATAATTAGCTACATATTTATTTTGTAATTGTCTTTCTTGATTCTAATCAGAACATACACAATTTTGATACATATATTTATTAGGGAGCTATTTATGAGGGGGAGGGAGTCGAGTGGTTGTGATGAGGTAATGTAATGGATAGGCTTTGGGGCTTAGGTACTTGGGCCTATAATGGGCATTGCACCCATTTCAACCTCCCTACTTGACCCCAGATTTTATTCTTGTGTCCCACTCTGAGTACCAGGGGTGGGCCTCATTTTCCAGGAATAAATCCATACCCTTTCCAGTAAATGGCTCTGGAATTCAGGCGTAAATGCCATGTAGATTGGTTCAGGAATGAGTCAATGAGACATTGGAAAAGAAGTATGCTGAGGACTTCTGTGAAAGAATTTGCTTGCTCACAATAGATGTCTACCAGAGTCATGGGTCCTCTTCTTCTGGACATTGTTGTCCAAATATGTTGGCAGCCTAAGGATGAAGCTTGCAAAAGAGGAGATCAGGTCAAATAACAAGGCAGAAAACAGAGCTGGAGATCTGACTGAACCACGCCTCACCTTTGCCCTTCCTAGACCTTATCAGTATGTTAGCCAAGGAATAGCCTTGACTTTTAAGCAATGTTTTACTTGAGATTTCTGTTTCTGGAAGCCAAAATAAATATTTTAATGTACAGAATCCCAATTTATACATTCTTAATATTGTTTTTATTTTTTAAACTTTAAGGTTGTTTTTCTGATTATAAAAATAATACGGACTCACTGTAGAGAATATAGAAAAGATCGAAAGATACGAAGAGGATAAAAACCATCTATAAGCCTATTAGCCCTAGATAATTGCTATTGATGTTTTGAATTAGTCTTCTCTTTACATAAACAAACTTACATATATATTTTACATATATATGTATTCTGCTAAATATAGATTTTTTTATAATGGTGTGTTTAACCAATTACAGTTTAAATAAATGTCTTATATTGATTGTTTTGGCAGTATACATGTAAAGGGTTCAGTGTTCACCAGCATGCTGGGTAAAACCCCCTGGAGTAGGGCCTTACTAGATGGAAGTTATATTGCTGTGATAGTACCAATCCCTTCAGTTCTAAATGTCTTCTAGTTTCCATCATGATTTTCTGACCCATATGTTGACTGGAAGACTAGAAATATGGGGGTTTACTAGCTGTCTGTTGGTTATTGATTCCTAACTTAACTACACAGTGGGCAGAGAATGCGGTTGCTATGATACCAGTCCTTAGACATGTTGAGAAACTTGCTTTATGACCCAGTATGTTCAATTTTTGTAATGTTTCACATATTGTTGAAAGGAAAGTATATTCTGCAGTTGCTGAGTGCGATATTCTATATGTATTCATTAAATCAAGCTTGGTAATTGTGTTGTTCAAATCCTCCAGTCCCTTAAAGATTTTCTGATCCCTTTGATCTGTGTGTTAGTTTCCTGTGGCTGCTGTTAACAAATTAGCACAAATGGGTGGCTTTAAACAACAGAAAGGTATTCTCTCCCAGTTCCAGAAACTAGAAGTCTGAAATCAAGGCACTGGCGGGGCTGCCTTCCCTCTGAAGGCTCTAGGGGAGAATTCATTCTTTGCCTCCTCTGGCTTTGGGTGGCTGTAGGCATGTGGTGTCGGAGTGTGGCTGCATCACTCCAACCTCTGCCTCCGTGGTCACACTGCCTTCTCCTCTTCGGTTTCTGTCTCAGATCTCCTCCTCCTTTCTCTAAAGAGGACACTTGCCATTGGTTTTATGTTCCGCCTGGATAATCCAGGAAGCTCTCCTCATTGCAAGATCTTCAATTACATCTACAAAGACCTTATTTTCAAATAAAGTAACACATAGGTTCCAGGGATTAAGACACTAGAGATATCTTTTCTGGGAGCTACTATTCAACCCACTGCAATGTGATACAGAGATATGTAAAAATCACCTACTCTGATGATAGATTTCTCTTTCTTCATCTACTTCCGTCAACTTTTGCTTCATATATTTTGTGACCATATTTTTAGAGACACATTTATGACTCTCATATCTTGTGTATTGAGTGTTATCTAGGCACACCCACCCACCCACCTCAGAAGTCTATTGATGACAAACTATCAGCGGTTGTCTGAAAAAGACTATAATTTGTCTTTCCTCTTACATTCTTTACTTGCAGGGCATAGACTTCTAAGGTTGCCTTTTTTGCCTCCTCAGCATTTCACTCAGGTGTCTTTTACTTGAAAAAAATTTATTTTCATATTCCCAAAATGTCCCAGGGCCAGAAAATTAGTACGGTTCCAGGCCCAGAGAATCAAAACCGTGTGCTGATTCAAAAAATATATGCCATTAATTAATATGAGGGAGCATTGTCTGAAATTAAATCATTCTAAGTGATTGGTCAAAACATTTCATTTAGTGCAGAATATATTGGGAAAATATGTGTAGGGAAGATGAAACAAATGTGGACACTGAAGTATATCAGAGACAATTTCTCAGTGACTGAAGTGATTCTTCACTTCACACTAATTGCACATCTGTAGAAATAAAGATTCATTATTCTCGTATAATATACTGCTATTGCAGGGCTTCCCTGGTGGCGTAGTGGTTGAGAGTTCGCCTGCCGATGCAGGAGACACGGGTTCGTGCCCCCGTCCGGGAAGTTCCCACATGCCGCGGAGTGGCTGGGCCCGTGAGCCATGGCCGCTGAGCCTGCGCGTCCGGAGCCTGTGCTCCGGCAACGGGAGAGGCCACAACAATGAGAGGCCCGCGTACCGCATAAAATCTTATATATATATATAAATAGATAGATAGATATTGCAGAGGAATCAAAAATTATAATAGAGTTACATAATCTTTCTTCCTTGTCCCTCAAGACTCTCATACATAATCTCAAATTTGTAGTTAGATTTGTGAAACAGCATACGGAGAGTGGCATTTTTAAGTTTAAAATTTCTGGCCTCAGTGTACGGAAGAGTTAAGGAACTTTTTAAAAGTTCTTGAATAGCTCAAACACATTTATTTTTTAAGCCACTCTGCTGTCTCGGTTGTTTTCCTCGATTTTGAGGGTTTGGGTCGTGTGGGCTGAGGCTCAAGAGCAATCCTGCCAAGGGCCGCCCTGGACACTCCCACCCGTTTATTATGGCGAAGCGGAGCTTCTACTGGCCCCCTAGCGCCATGGTCAAGCAAAAGCTGGGGCTGCAAGGCCCTCTGCAGTGCGAAACCCTGTAAATTGGGTGAGCGGGAGAACAACACCGGTGAGACGGGAAGCCTGGGGCACACCGACCGAGGGCAGGCTTCAAGCGCGTCTTCAGTCGCCCGCTCATCTCCCCGTAGTCCTGGTAACCAAACTCTGAACGTGCGTGCGCAGCCAAACTCCCTTATCACGTGAGGCCGGGCCGGGGGCGGAGCCGACGAATGCTCCTCCGGACTGGTTGCCCAGTTCCTCTCCGCATGGGACCAGCCGAGGCGGGGCGAACCTCTGCTGTACTGCGTTGGGGTGGCTCACAGCTCCCGCCCCTTTTCGTTTAGCTTTCTCGCGGCTGGTTCCTCGCACCACGTGCCCTCCTGGCCGCTCCCCCAGCTGCCCTTTCCAGCTGCCTGTTGGAAGCTGCTGTAAAATGTCGTGACGGGCGCTGCTGCTTTACGGCTGCCTCTCCCTAAGTGGAGCCCTGGAGCGCCCACCGCCGTCAGCCCTGTCTCTACGAGTCGGCCGGGCAAGATTGAGAGACCCGGCGCGCCGCTGCCCTCCCCGCCGCGCCCGTTCCGGCCCTCGGCGATGTGAGCTCGAGGAGGCTGCGGTGCCCCCCCGGCCTGGGGTTGAGACGGGCGGCAGGTGCCTGTGAGGCGGGCGGGTGCTGGGGGCCTGCAGGATGGAGGAAAGCATGGAAGAGGAGGAGGGGGGTAGCTACGAGGCGATGATGGACGACCAGAACCACAACAACTGGGAGGCCGCCGTGGACGGCTTCCGGCAGCCCCCCCCACCCCCTCCGCCCCCTGCTTCGATCCCAGCCCCTGCCCGAGAGCCTCCGGGGGGTCAGCTGCTGGCGATGCCTGCGGTCTCCGTGGACAGGAAAGGCCCCAAGGAGGGGCTCCCGATGGGGCCACCGCCGGAGCCGAATGGGGTGATCATGATGTTGAAGAGCTGCGACGCGGCTGCCGCCGTGGCCAAGGCGGCCCCCGCCGCCACCCCCACCTCCAGCATCAACATCAACACCTCCACCTCCAAGTTCTGTGAGTACAACCTTTCGTCTGCAGCCTTGGCTTTTCTCCTTCCCACCCGGACGCCGAATCCTTCTCTCTCGGCCATCCCGCTTCCTTTGTTTCAGGCCTGGGTCTCTCCTCCCCTCCCCGCCTCCCTCCCCCGCCTCGTTTGGTGTCCGCGGCCGGCGCCGGAGCGGCCCTGGCTTCTTGTATTACCTGGCCTAAAAGAGCAGCCTGGTTACGCACACAGCCCCAAGTTCTCCTACAAACGCGAGCCGTATCATGACTGGCTATCTCTCAGCATCAGGAAGCTCTTTTCTTCTCCGTTCCCCCTTAAGTTTCACCCTCAAACGTGAAGGGAAAATAAGGCTGTCCGAGTTTCGTTAGGGAGAGGCCTTCAGTTTGTTTTTTGCAACCAGGGGAAAAAGAAATCTGGCCACTTGTGTTTCTGTGCTTTTAGCCAGTCTGCGTTAAACAAGTCAGGAATTAGAAAGTTGACCTATATCTACGCTTCGTTCTTTCCCGTCTCCAGTGCACGCCTTCTGCATCCCGATAGGGAAATGTATGAGTTGCTTCTTGAGTAACAGCAGCGCAGTGGGAGCTGCGACATCCGTTTTGAAGCTAATAATGTATAAAATTACTTTTTCAAAGTCTACACTCATAAGAATAAGCCATTCGGTATGTGTCCAAATCTAAGATTGTGTTCAATGTTGAACTTTTATGTTAGTGATCTGCCCTAACGCTCAGCTGCAGGCAGAAAGATTTAAGACCAAAATCTGTTTTGTAACCGAAACTATCTCCAACCAAGGATGTATGCTTCCACAGCTAGGAAGAAAAGTGCGTTTGCTTTAAGTGGTAATTTTGGGGGCTGGTGATGGTGGAAATTGACCGTCATAGCGAGATTTTTCTCTCCTATTAATAACTGCAAGTTTTGAATGGCATCTGGTAAAGAACTGGAGATTTCATTTCTAGTTGCTAATTTTATCAAGCTGTACCAGTAATTGTCCAGTTAGCTGTGCAAAGAAAATATCTGCCTTGGTTCAGATGTATAGTCATAGCCTTACACTTTTTTTTTTTTTTTTGGAACAAGCACATAATCTTATTTATTTGCCTTCAAGATACTGCTTTAGTCAGAGACATTCATATGTAGGTATGGTTGGTAAGATTTGTCTACGATTTTTTCCGTATTATGTGTACATGAAAATAATGTTTATATTGTATAATTTGTGTGTTGAAGTCTATGTAGTGAAACCAGACCTGGGACACAGTGGCAGGGTGACTCATCTAAATGCTGAAGGAAGCATGCTTTAGTGTTTTAACCAAGTTCATTTTAAGAGTTCAAAAAACAGCATACAGCTAAGAGCAAAAATTAGTGAAATTAGGAACAAAAGAAAGATTTGCCAAACCAAAAGATTGTTTTTTGAAATTAATAAGCTAAACGGACCTCTGATTTTTTAAATGCAAATACAATAAGTGATAACTGGGAAATAGGTACAAACATGAGGTGTTTAAAAGAAGAGTTTTATGAATTGCTATCGGTTTATAAATTTGAAAGCCTAGAGGAAATGTGTAAATTCTTAGAAAACTACAAACTATGAAAGTTGGTAACAGAAGAAGTAGATAGCTTGAGCTAATAAATATTTTTTTAATTTAATTTATTTTTATTTTTGGCTGCGTTGGGTCTTTGTTGCTGCGTGTGGACTTTTCTCTTTGCGGCGAGCGGGGGGCTACTCTTCGTTGCGGTGCGCGGGCTTCTCATTGCAGTGGGTTCTCTTGTTGCGGAGCACAGGCTCTAGGTGCGCAGGCTTCAGTACTTGTGGCACACGGGCTCAGTAGTTGTGGCTTGCGGGCTCTAGAGCTCAGGCTCAGTTGTTGTGGCGCATGGGCTTAGTTGCTCCACGGCATGTGGGATCTTCCCGGACCAGCGTTCGAACCCGTGTCCCCTGCATTGGCAGGCGGATTCTTAGACACTGCGCCACCAGGGAAGCCCGAGCTGACTAATAAATATCTAAAAACTGAAATAGTAAAACATCCCCTTTCAAAAACTCTGGATGAAGATAATCTTATAATTGAGGTGCAATGAGCTTTTAAATAACAATTCCTTTTTAAAAGTTGTTCTGGGAAATAGGAAAAAGAGAGAGAGAGAGATGCCAAGCTCATTTTATGAAGTTAGTGAAATCTTGATTCCAAAACTAGGTAAAGTTGATATGAGAAAGTTATACATCTGTTTTCAGTTATTAGCATAAATGTAAAAATCCTACACAAAATACTAGCTCTTCAAACCCAACAATGTGTTAAAAGAATCTTGATCCATAGAGTTTGTTTTAGGAATGTAAGTGTGGTTCAACATCCATTTATCTGTTAATGTAATTTATCTTATTAGTAGACTAAAGGAGAGTATATGGGTTCATCATTCTCTCTACTTTTGTATATGTACTTGAAAATTCCCATTAAAAAGTTTAAAAAAAATAGACTAAAGGGAGAGAATTCATCATTATTTCGATACCATAAAATTATTTGATAAGATGCAGCACCCATATATGATAAAAACTCTTGGCAAGCTTGGAACGCAGGATAACTGAATGATGGTCATTACCAAAAACCTACAGCAAATAATAATAATACTTAACAGAGAAATTTCAGATACATTTACTTTAAGGTCAGTAACAAGGGACTTCCTTGGTGGTCCAGTGGTTAAGACTAAGCGCTTCCACTGCAGTGGGCACAGGTTCAAACCCTGGTTGGGGAGCTAATCCTGCATGTGGCATGGCAAAAAAATAAATAAAAAGATCAGTAACAAGATAAGGATGCCCTCTGTCATTGTTACTGTTTAACATAAGAAAGGTTCTGACGAACACTACAGGGGGAAAAAATTAAAAGTATAAGTATAAGAAGGGAAGCAATAAAACTCATTATTTGCAGATAATATCACTTATCTAGAAGAACCATTAGAATCAAGAGAAGCTATTAGAACTAGTAAGAGTTTAGCAAGGTTACTGGACTTAAGATCACCCTACAAAAGTTAGTAGCATTTACTACACTAGCAATAACCAATTAGTAAAGGTAATCAAAAGTAAATATTGTAGGGCTTCCCTGATGGCACAATGGTTAAGAATCCGCCTGCCAATGCAGGGGACACGGGTTCAAGCCTTGGTCTGGGAAGATCCCACATGCTGTGGAGCAGCTAAGCCCGTGCACCACAACTACTGAGCCTGAACTCTAGAGCCCGCAAGCCACAACTACTGAGCCCACGCGCTGCGGCTACTGAAGCCCGCATGCCTAGAGCCTGTACTCCACAACAAGAGAAGCCACCGCAATGAGAAGCCCGCGCACCGCAAGGAAGAGTAGCCCCCACTCAACGCAACTAGAGAAAGCCCGTGCGCTGCAACAAAGACCCAACACAGCCAAAAATAAATAAAATAAATAAATTTTTTTTAAAAAGTAAATATTGTATACAATAATAGCAAGAAAACTATAGTCTCTAGGAATTACTCTAAGTACATAAGATCTTTAAGGAGAGAACTTTAATAAGGAGCTAGAAGAGGACCTAAATAAATGGGAAAACTTTCCATGCTTTTGGGATTGGATTACTTATTGTTGTAAGGAAGTCAGTTTTCTCCATTTTAATCTATAAATTTGATTAAACTGCCGTCAAAATTCCAGTTGGTTTGTCTGACAAACTCAGTAACCTGATCTAAAATTTATATGGCAGGTGGGATAAAGTCTGTGAATAGCTAAATCAGTCTTAAAGTTTTGCTTTCGTGGGGGCTTGCCTTACCAGAGGTTAAGATACTGTTTCAAAACTATAGTAATAAAAACTAGTATAAGTGCAAGAACCTAAAAAATACACTGGGGGAACAAATTGGAGAGCAGAGACTTACCTATATGTTCAGGAACTTAAGATAAAGGTGGTATCATAAATCATCAGAGAAAGGAGTCATGTTGCTAGGAAGAGTGGCTTACTTTATGGAGAAAAACCTACCACCACAGATGGGATGAACTATGGATAATTAAAGATCTAAATGTGAAAGGAAAAGTTATAAAATTAATGGAAGACAATGTTGAAGAAGCTCTTTCCCTAGGGAAAGTTTTATCTCAAAACTTACAAAGGTGAAAAAGTAATGACTTTGATTATATAAAAATTAAAGGTTTTCATTCAGTGACAGACAGATGAAAGAATTAGGGAAGATATTTGCAGTGCCCAAAATTGCCAAGGGATTTAGCCTTGCATTTATTCAGCTTTTGTTTGTCCCCAAAAGCATTTTACCTTCATTTTCTAAGGATATTTTTGCTGGATATAGAATTCTAGATTGATAATCTTGTTTTGTTTTTGTTTTTCCTTTCAATACTTTAAAGATGTCTTTCCGTTGTCTTCTGGCCTGCATTATTTCTTTTAATAAATGTCTGAATATTCTTATCTTTGTTCCTCTCTAGTAGTGTGTCCTTTTTTTCTGGCTGCTTTTAAGATTTTCACTTTATCTTTCACTAAATCAAATTTAATTTGATTGTGATATTCCTTGTGGTAGAGTTTTCTGTAGGCTTATTCTTGTTAGTGTCCTTTGAGCTTCTTGGATTTGTGGGGTTCTAGAATTTGTCAAATCTGGAACATTATCATTCATTTTATATTTTTTCAGAATTACTGCCCCATGCCCCTCAGTTGCATATATGTTATGCCACTTGTTATTGTACACTAAATCACTGAGGCTCTGTTCATTATCTTTTTCAGCTTTTTCACCCCCCTCTGCTTCAGTTTAGATAGTTTCTATTGCTGTGTTGTCTCTGGTGTCTAATCTGTTGTTAATTCAGCAAGAGTTCCAACTGTTTTTAACATAGACTGTCATTGAGTCCAGGTTGTAGTCAGTTAACTGAGCGAATTGTTATAACCATATCTGGTTTCTTGAGATACTGCAGTGAATGAAGAATCTTCAGTAAGTGTATTCCTTTTGATAACTTAAGTCTTACCTAAAGTTCTGTTTCAGTCTTTAGAATTCTTAATGTCTTCTGAGAGTCCACAGTGGTGTACCTCAGAG